CACACACAGGCACATCCAACCAGATTCTGGAGGCTCACAGAAGACACTGAGCTGCTGTTCTGAACAGGATACCAACCCAGCAGAGAGGCTCTGTCTGCTCTCCTGATACACTCCCTCTTTCCCTTGCTGGATACTAGCAAACCAAACAGCCTCTACCAAACTGCCAACACCTTAAAGAAAACCTAAAACACACCTGGTTGATAAGTCAAGAGAGAAAGGGCTAAGGCATCTAATGCCCTTGTAGCACTGTGAGAACAACCTGTCCTGCTACTCAGACAGCTCAGAACAGCAGAGTCCTTACATCTCATCTGTATCTAGTTGTCCAGAGAGACTGTGCTGCCTCCACCCTGGAGATGGAGAGTCTGACAGTCCTGGGCAATCTGCTCTAGCTGATGCTACTCAGAGCAGGGTTGGACTAGATCCCTTCCAACCTCAACTCCTGCACAGTTCTAAGGTTCACTGGATGTACAAGCCATGTGAGAACATCTTAACTACATCCCATTACAGAAAACTAAGCTGAAGGAATTAGTCAAAGTTAAGAGTGCATGTTGCACATAACTTTTTAGTATTTGGCAAAGCTCCAGAATTACAACTCCTCAGTTACTCAGTTTTGTACAGTTAGGCAAGAAATGTAGCACACTCATTTTTCTCCTCCACCATATACAAAACAACCACCTACATGTTCCCTGCAGTGACTGAAGGTATCACCAATATTGTTCTGTGAAGTACTTTCCTGCTCCTACTACTGTACAAGCAACACTGCAGTGAGTGTTAGGTACTGAAAAGATAAAACTCAGTTTACAAAAAAATCAACACCTATAGTCAAGTTTTAATTTGCAACCCTTGTACCAGCTAACCAGGGAAAATGGCACAAGTGAAATGAAAAACACAGTATTAAAACCCAGTGCCCAATCACTAATATTTTAAGCACTAGAATGAAAAATCATCGCATAATTGGAACCTACCTTTCTGCAATAACTTGATCTCTCCATTTTCTTTCTTGATTTCATTCATTATTTTGTGCTTCTTCTTCTCCTTCTGCTTCTTTTCCCTTTCTTTAATTTTGTCTTTGATTTGAGCTGAAATGCAAATATTTCACAATTAAAAAGGCACAGAAAAGTAATTGTCACGTGTGTTTTTCATATTTCTCTTATGTAAGCTCTATTAAGAGGATGAAAGGAGGAGTTACAAGGAAATCCCAGTACTTATAACAAGAAAAGCTAATATTTATCTGTTGCATAATCCATCATAAGCTTATTTAACTCAGATAAGTCTTGTTTCTGTTATGTTAGAACTGTATGCAACAACTCATCAAGTTAACTGTATACAGTTAACAATGTCTGCTTACCCCTATACCTTCTGCTCTTCTTTGCATCTGCACTTGGCTCATCTCTTGCAACTCAGATGCATTAGAGAAGAACTGGGGTAAAAAAAAAGGTACAGTTTGTGCCTTCCTGGGTACACATCTGCACTGGAAACCTCACAGAACTATCTACACACACTGTGAACTTAAAGGCCTCTGTAGGTGGCTAGGAACAATAACTGAAAGATCTTTTACTCTAAGTTCACAGGCTACACTAACACATTAATAGCAGCTATATGTAATTAATAACCCATGGAACATGCTGTGTTTGCACAGCAGATGTAACTCACTGCTTCCCCTGCTTACCTACAGTCAGCAAGAGCTTACCTGAGCAGTCTCATTATTCATTTACTTTCCTGTCAAGTCACTCCAGGTTTTAAACCCCTGACATTCCAAAGCAGAGCCTTTGGGCATGCTTTCTGCATCTAAAACACCAAGCCCAGAGGAATTCGTGTTTCGAGGAGTAATCTTTCCGAGCCAGTTTAGACTCACTCAGGAGGCCAAGCCTTTGGAGAAGTCAGATTTTACCAGGCTCAGAGGCTCTGCAGCCAGCACTTCATGCCGAGTGCCTTGGCCTGTAGCCAGTACCTGCTCCAGGAGCTTTTTAACCTCCGCAGGGGAAGAGGAAATCTGATTTCGAGCTTCTACATAATGCTATGCTTCAGAATGCTTTCTCAGTAATACAGCTGAGACAATCCTGATGTTTTATTCATGGTACTTGCATTAGAAACCCCATGTGGAAGCAAAGAGAAATCCAATTACTTTTCCTTAAGCATTCACATAAAACAGAAGCAGCAGGTACCTTCACTATTAACAAACCAGAAATGTTCCTCAGAACCAAACCAAAGAAAAACCCTCATTTCCAGAAGGCAATAAATACAGAGTGGCCCCTAAACTACTTGTGAAGCATGTTAATAAAGGTGCAAAGTGTTGACAGCAATCCACATAAATGAATGCTCTAACAGTGACTCCACAGAATCCATATCTGTCCTCTTAGGAGTCTTCTAATAAGGCTACAGAAGTTGAACCCTCACAGTCATTAGGGTGAAGCAAAGTGTATTTTCGGGAGAGTCTAAGGAGGTAAATAAAATCCAAAAGGGATGGCAATTGAGCTGTGTCTGTTGTCAACCCACAGGTCAAGACAAGCAGCAGGGAGAGAACAGAAACTGTGCTGGCATAAAAATAATAAGGAATAAGGTAGCTGTGCTTAAAGCTGTTTGGCTGTCTTAGCTGTAAGTGACTGAAACAGGCACGTCCCACCGCTCAATGAGAAGGGATGACAGCAGATTTGTGTGTACAGCAGACCATGGAAACCAAACAAGTTTTCCTAAGCAACACAAACCTTTCTAGGAATAGGTTAAGTAAACAGGTTAAGAAATCTCTCTCACCATCCCGTTTCTCCCGCTAAAGGAATCCCTAGATGGTAAATCCCCTGCAACCCAAGGCTGTGAAGTCAGACGTGAATTATTTGAGTACCACTCAAAGCAGACACTCACTCAGCAAGTCGGCAGTAACACCAGGCTTGATTCAGAACCTGTGCTCAGTGTTTAGCTCAGCCAGGATTGCAATGATCATGGTAAAACAGATTTTATCTCAAGGTTTTCTTCCCATTAAGAGGCACACTTGACTTCTGCTACCACTTACAAATCAAAAGGAGACTGAAGAGCACACACAAAGGCTGAGCCTTGCTGGAAAAGGACGAAAGAAAGACTGAAAGAATCCTTTTCTGCCAGCTCATGAATAGCATCACAGGCCAATGAATCTTCCACTTTTGTCAGAAGCAACACATAAGGGCAGAGAAAGAGCCAAAACCTTTTAAAGAGCCTCTAGTTTATTTTCACATCTAGAAAGCAATTAGCAGAGTCAATGGTGAAACCTTCCAGACAAAAGAAACAATGGAAGTGTCCTGTGACCTCCTCCAGCACAGCCACAAGCAAATGATACCTGAAGCCATTGCAAACACAATGTAAATGCAGCTGAGGAAGGCTTGGAGCAAATTCAACTGTTTCCCTTTTGGAAATCACAGCACTGTTAACAAAACCAGCGCACAGCCCGAGGCAAGTGAAGAACAGTTGAGAATCCCACTTGGAATGTACAAGTTCCCAGTTTTCCTCCCACAAAGCTCACAGAATAGATAAGCAATAGTTCTATTCTTGTAGCAATCCACGTAGTCGTTCTCGAAAAAAACACCATCACAAATACAAAAATAAAGAAAAACCAAAATGTCCCAGAGCAGTAGCTCACTGAGTGTCTTCCCTAAGACAAGGTATAAATTCTCTCCATTCTTCACAAAAATGCTGCTTTAAAGTTGATGTCTCCAACATTAAGCAATTTACAACCTACATGTCGCAGAACAAACCACCAGGAAGTGAGGTTGGCAAGGGAAAACCAGAAAAACTTGTTCTGTTGAAGTTATGAAAACCTGGAATGCTTTTGAACAGCTTTTATGAGGTTTACCAGTAGGAGCTACTACTGGTCTCCATTTCATTTGTAGAGCAACATGATCACCAAACAGTAAGAGGTAGAGATGTTTATGCTAATCCTTCCATGTCCATAAAATATTCTCCAATTAATTTCACCAATACTGCTCCTAAGAAATAAAAATTAAAAAAGGCTTCCTGAGCTGCTGAGAGAACAGGATGAAGTGAGTCCCCAGGGAAATAATGTAACCCAAATGGTCAGGAGCAGGACAAGAGAGCATCAAGTACCAACAGCTGTTACCTCCCAATGTCACAGCTCTGCAACTGCCACAGCTCAGTTTTCACAAAGATGCAGAACTGAAGCTTCAAGAAAAGCCATTAACAAATTCAAATTCCATATGCTAATGCGAAGATAATTTGAGTTCAAAGGAAGGTGAAGGGGCCAGTGGCTCAAACACTGAAGAACAGTTTTAATACAAGTCTCCATTCTAAAAACACAACGCACATAGATGTACCAGCGACCAGAAGCTAAAGCCTGACATCCTTCGTCCATTACCCTTTGTGTTTGTTTGTTTTTTAAACACAAGCACAAGTTAGTCACAGGAACAACTTCATATTTGTGGTCCGTGACTGGAACTTTTCCCACTGCATGTGTCTTGCAGGAAATTGCAAATTCATTTATAACAGCCCTTTCCAAATTCAACAGCTTTACACAATGTTTTAGGTGAAGCCAACTCAGAATATTTACATTTCAGTAACTACTTTTCCACTTCAGGAGACATGAAAAAGCAGCATTTCAGCAATACAAGCTTCAGTTTCACTTCAGCTGAGCTATTTGCTCTCTCCCTTTTGAAAAAGTTGTTCTGATAAGGGATAATCAGTCAGGTCCTGGGTATGAGAACTGTCTAACATTTCAACCGTTGTGGGAGGGGTGGAGTTGTGGATGACTGTTTTTATTATTGGATCAAAACAGACACAAAAAGATCCTGTTATGTCTGCTCTACTCTAAAACAGGAAAAAACACTAAATCTTAAAAGTTCATGATACCTTCAATGAGAGCACAAGTCCATGATGCCATGACTGACACCCGAGTGACAGTAAAGATTATTTAATAGCCATATAAGACACCAACAAAAAAATGCAATGAAACAAGTCTGGGAAAATCCCAGTTCCTCTACTACTCTCGATGTTTTATCAACACATCAATCATACCAAAACCCTTAAAGCCATCCAAGGCCTAGCTCTACTAGCACTAGCTCTCACCCTGGTCAGAACTCAGCTGGATGACTGATGTCTCCAATTCTACTCACTGTGCAGTACTGAGAAACCAATGGTCATTTCTCACTCCCATTTCAACAGCCCAAAGCTCACCCCAGCTGCAAGAGCTTCCTACTGACACCCAGCACCCAAAGCCATCAGTGGTCCTCAAAATATTACCTTATTGCTCATCTGATGAATTTTAGGGACTAACTCCAAAGAGCAAATTATACTCTCAGGTCTCTTTGAGATTCAGACTAGATGTTAAGAGAAATGTTTTCCCTGTGAGGGTGTTCAGGCACTGGGATATTGCCCAGGGAGGTGGTGGAGTCACCGTCCCTGGAAGTGCTTAAAAGGCATCTGGATCTGGTGCTGGAGGATCTGGTTTGGGGTTCAGGGGTTAGAACAGAGTGTCAGGTTAATGGTTGGACTTGATGATTCTATGGTTCTCCACATTAATCCATACTTTCCACTTTGGTTTTTATTAAACAACTACATTAGGGACAACTATGACTAAAACACAATAATTAGTACACACAAACTTCCCACACAGACATTAGTGTAGCACAGTAACCCTTAGCTGCCTCCCATCATTGTTCACTGCAACATAAACTCTTCCTGCACATACACACACTTCCTACACCTTTACACACCCCTAAATACACTAAAAGCCAACACTTGGATGTATTTTGTATCCCAGGGTAGAGATGTAGAAACTCTGTCTTTTCATCAAGTCTCTCCCCCTATCAAAACACACTTTATATGATTTTGACAACAGAAATACAGTGCTCAAGAAATAACTCGTCACAAACCAAACAGAGTTTGCAAATAGTCCCTACCAGGGTTAAAAAAAAAAAGAGCAAACAAATTCAGGGCACAGTAGGAATCGGCTATGGAAAGTGCAATAAGACCAGGCTCAATCCTTAGTTTTCAAGCTCTACTGCCTGAGGAAAAAAAAGAAAAGTCTCTATTGTAGCAAGTTGACCCTGGCTAGACACCAGGTGCCCACCAAAGCTGCTCTATCCATCCTG